CCCCAAAACCCCAAAACCCCAAAACCCCGTGAAATGAAAAAAGGTGGATTCGTTTAATTTGGATTTAATTTTTAATGAGAGATTAAGAAATATATGGTTTCAATTCCTCATTTGAGAATGACTTTGTCGATTGTGAATTTAACTCTTTGAGAGTTTGACACGAAGAAGATTCTGAAGATCCAGCCAATGAAGAGTAAATGTGTAATCCAATAGATAGTCTTGCTAGTGTACCAGGGTAGACTTTCAGCATGAGAACCATTGTGCACCAAAATTGATTGTCTGAATCCTTCAAGATGGTTTTTAAGATTGAATTCATAATGAGTATCGCTGACCTTTTCTTTTTTGAAATCATAAGATTAGCATTCTTTTGATTGACTTGCTTGGGCTGAATATTGAATATCGAGTTGAATATCAAGTCTAGTTAACTTGTAATTTTTAATGTGCTCAACTGATGAAGCATCGGCTGATTAATCCATATACTCAGCATACTTTAAATCTCTGAAAAATCTGCTAGATACTCTTTTCTCGTAACTTAATCCTCTTCTTCTATGATACAACTCGTAGTGATAATTTTCAATCTCCATTTCAATTCTTGGCGCCTTGGCTTTCAAATCGTCTATAATTCCTTTAGATTCATGTGACCTGATTACATCGCTCAAATAGGCATTGGTCTTACACACAGCGCACTCAAACAGATAAACCAAGCAAAAGAATATTTCAAAGCCGATAATATCCCACTTATTTTTGGGCTTATAGTCTCCCTCTGAAATATAATATCCAAGGGCGATTACTGTGCAACCAAGAATGAAATTTAGTGGAGCTAAATTTGAACAATCTGGGTTTTGATCTTATTTCTGGACGAGAATATCATTGAAGTATTCACATTCGCTAGTTTTTCCATCTTTTGAAGTGATCAAACCTTGACCGTTTTTCTTGTCATTAAGCCAAGTTGTCTTAATTATCGCACCATCAGCTTATATTAATTTGCCGTCTCCATTTTTCATATCATTTGACCATTGGCCCTTGTAGACGGTTCCGTCTTTGTTGGTGAATTCTCCATAGCCTTCTCTCTTGCCGTTTCTCCAAGCTCCTTGATAATTAGAACCATCAATATAGACAAGCTTTCCACCTCCGTGTTTTTAACCTTGATCATTAGTCTCACCAGTGTATTTGCTACCAGCCTCATTAAGCATTTTCAAAATGCCGGCATTTAGTTTTTGCAGAAGCACAGCCTTTGGTACTGTTCCATCAGGTGGGATCAATTCATACCCAACTTGAGGTGGGCTCTCATTGAATTATTTGCTCTCGTTTCCTTTGAATTTAGCATCTGCCTTAAGCGACATATCTTGCATTTCAAGATCCTGGTACTTTTGAGTCATTTTGAACTTTTTATTCTAGCGATATTATATACTAATTATTCATAAGTTTCAACGATTCAATTTCAAATCACGGGGTTTTGGGGTTTTGGGGTTTTGGGG